CCGTAAACATAGCCCCTACCCTGACTCATACACAGAGCAGTAATGAAATGTCATCATTTATCCTGAAATTACCCCACAAACTAAGACAATAATCCTAGGAAAACATTAACAAAAATCCCATCTACAGGTTCATCACATTTGACAATCATGTGAAAACTGATGTGGTTTTACAGAGGAAGGAAAAGAACACCACAGACAGATAAAATAAGCAATCGAGATATCTTGAAAACAGAACATCCACAAAGTGAACTAGTTGCCTGCATCAGAAACAGGCAATCCGTATTTTTTGGACATGACATGGGAAAGGGGAAAAACTGGAGTCAGCTAAAACAAAAGGGAAAGTTAAGGGGAAAGACTGCCAGAGAGGGAGATCAAGAAAGAAGATACTGGACAGTTTGGCATCATGTCATACATCTTCATTTTCAAAAACTGAGTTGCGTTTTAGGAACCGAAAATCACAGCACTCGGTACAATCCCATAAGTGCTCTAAAATGCCATCATGATTGACAGTACATGTAACAGAAGGTTGTGGAGAGGCACAATTACCAGTGCAATGTGACATAGGCTAAAAAAAAAAAAAGATCGGATATCAGACAGACAAAACATTCTAGAACTAAAAGTGTCTTGAGGGAACATTGCAGGCAGACAAAACAGTTCTAAAGTACGTAAATAAATTGCTTCTGGTGTGGAGATGGTGTTGAGATGAGGTTTTGTTTTTACACAGTGTGATCTCAAACAGTATATAAAACTGTCCTCATTTCTTTTGTTATATAAATAAATAAACGATTCCCGCACGGTAACTATAGCTTTCAAATTTTATGTTGTCTAGTGTGTTCTTCTATCTTTCTACTTCTTTCTATGAGTGCCGATCAATACATTTTCTGTCACCTTATTAATATATGGTATTGTTGACAGCTGTTTGCATTAACTCTTTCTTTTTGGAATGTTAATTAGGAAAAGTTTGGAGACAACAAGGATGTAGACTATGAGATGATTGTTGAATACCTTGGACACTGAAAATAATTAATATGGACTGCCTACGAAAAGTAGAACATTATATGGATCTTTAAGAGATGTTCTATAGGCATTTGAGAGGAGAGGTTCCGAAATTCACAGTGACAGCTCAAAACATCAAAGGTAGAAGACACAAAAGAGGAAGAGAATAATGATGTAGAGTATAGTCAGAAGGTGCCAAGAAGGATTTTTTCTAAGGATCAGCTCAATAAATGTGTTGATATATGAAAAGCGCCACCTGGCAGGAAACATGATCATTATTATATGTATTGTTCTTCTGTTCATTCCATCAAAACCAGATATGCAAACATTCTTGGGACATATTAACAACTGTCTGGAACATGAGCGGTTACAGTTATGCCCTATTTCTTGGATTACACGAAGGTGGTTCTACATTTACGAGGCCACCACCACTCCCATGTCTATGATATCATTAAAAAATAAAACACACATTTACGAGGCCACATAAAGATACTCCCATGTTTACATGTCATAAAAAATGATACACATTTATGAGGCCACATAAAGATGGTCCTATGTTTACAAAATCGTACAAAATGATTCCATATTTATAAGGCTACATAAATATAATCCCAATTTCATGGGGTGAGATAAAAATTATCTCATATTTATGAAGCACGTAATGATGATCTCATGTTTATGAATCTCATACAAATATGAGTCCACATTTATGAGGTTATAAGATGATGATCCCATTCTTTAGGTCACATAAAGGTGGTCTCATGTTTATGAAGTCACATAAATTAGGTCCCATATTTGCAAAATCATTTAAAATAACAGGGCGCATTCTAGTGGCATGCAGTACCTGCTACTTTTTGGTTTGTTTGTGCAGGTGTCCTTTTTTAACGCTACTGTAGCACACATTTTGTGGTGAGTACCGGCACCTTTTTTCTAGACTGTTGGTTCCTTCCCTCTCCGACTTTAAAGGAAAAATCACTAATTAGTAGCCTTGTATATCATGCTTGTCATGGGGCAGTGGATCTATTCTATTTTTATATCTAAATTAGTGTCATGGAACCCACACTTTGAAGTTCTCAAATGAATACAGAATAAATTTTTCACTAGATTCAACACACCAGTGCATATGGACACACTAGTAAGAATTCAGTCTCTCTCAGCAGACTGCTTTTATCATGCACTATTCATAATTGGGGTATTGTCATCCTCATCTGTAAACACACCTGCTAACTGCACTAAAGTAAAGGTGAACACAAGAGAAGCAGTCATACTACTTCACAAAGTCATGGAATAGTTTATGTCAAGTTAGGATCACTGTTCCATTGAACATCTTTAAATACAAGAAATATATTTGCTGCTTCACAAACATGATTTTTCGAAACTAAGTGCAGAAGTCATGTTACATTTAAAGGACACACACACACATGGAAAGACAGAAAGAAAACAGGAAACTAATCCATTCACAAGTGTGATCCAAGTACGAACAAACTGTAAGTAGTAATCTAGATAGAGCAATGACTGTAACTGCAAGCCCTCCTAAATTATGTATCTAGAAGTTGTAAATCATCAGTACTACTAGTTATAAATTATCAGTCCTGGTATTTATAAATCATCAGTCCTGGTAGTTGTAAATCATCAGTCCTAGTAGATGTAAATCATCAATACAGGCTCCCTTAAGTAAATAACTAGACAGAGTAAATCATCAATCAGTCACAGAGTGAAAAAATAAATTATCAATCAGACAGAGAGTTCATTGATAATAGCTGCAAGTATCCCTGGTACTTAACTAAGTAATACTTCATTAGTCACGTCGCGACCTGACTTTGTTAACAGATACCGCAAGCCACTTTGAGTACAGAAACCTGTGTCTTAAATAACACTGTTGGATTTATTTTCCTTCATTAACTCTTTCAGCCCAAAGTGACATGCCATGAATGACCATTTTTTTATCTGCGTCTAGCAAAACATACTGTGTTTTATTTATATTTTACATTTGGTTTCAACATATTAAAGAAATCTGGCTATATATTTTAGCTCGCAGCACAGTATACACATGTCTATAAAAGAAAAATCAATATTGCTTTTCCATTAAGGTTGTTGTCCACTTTTAGATATCTGCTGTGATAAAATTTGGACTGAAAGTTCAGAGGGAGGGTTCATTGTCATTAACTGCAAGTAGCAGGGTACAAAACTACATAATAAATCATAGTCATTTTGCCAACTTTAGTCCGTAAATGGACACTTCAAGCCATGGTAAGCTTTTGCATTTCGGGACAAGTATTTTGAAAAAGTTCACTAATGAGGGGTGTTTCCTTTTAAGTCGGAGAGGCAAAGAACCAACAGTCTGAATACAAATAAGATGTGTAAAATGGACTGTATGCAAAACTTGAGGTCTCAAACAAGATGAAAGTCCAAAAGTGAACACACAATAATTTTCTGCCAGAGTTTACAGCCAGTGAATGCTAAGAAGTCATAACTAGACAGAAATTGTACCCATAAATGTAAATACAAGGAAGTTAATAACCCAGAATGGATTTAGCTAAAAAAGAGGTGCATGAGCCATTTGACTACATGCTGCAAAATGCTGCTATATCTGGCTATTTAGCTTTAACTAGTGGAGGAAATACTTCTTTATCTGGCTATTTAGCTTTAACTAGTTCAGGAAATGTTGCTATATCTGGCTATTTAGCTAAAACAAGTGGAGGAAATGCTGCTATATCTGGCTATTTAGCTTTAACTAGTGGAGGAAATGCTGCTATATATCGCTATTCAGATTTATCTAGTTCAGGAAATGCTGCTATATCTGGCTATTCACCTTAAACTAGTTCAGAAAATGCTGCTATATATGGTTATTCAGCTTTAACTAGTTCAGGAAATGCTGCTATATCTGGCTATTCAACTTTATCTAGTGCAGGAAATGCTGCTATATATCGCTATTCAGCTTTATCTAGTTCAGGAAATGCTGCTATATCTGGCTATTCACCTTAAACTAGTTCAGAAAATGCTGCTATATATGGTTATTCAGCTTTAACTAGTTCAGGAAATGCTGCTATATCTGGCTATTCAGCTTTAACTAGTGCAGGAAATGTTGCTATATCTGGCTATTTAGCTAAAACAAGTGGAGGAAACAGTTACATCCTAAAACTGATTTAACTAAAATAAGTGCATAAAATACTTGACATTATAAAATAACATTTATCTAGAAACTGTCAAAGGAACAGACTAAAATCCTACTCCCAAAAAATGTCTTTCTCTTGTCTGGATGTCTTGCCCATATGAAATCAAGAGTTGAATAATGGTTTTTATTCAAACATACTCCAAACTAGTTACCGTATTATCAGAATGTTAACTCTTCGCTTGCTGCTTAAGATGGTGACAGAGCACTTCCGGGGGTGTCCTAAGTGCTGTGATGTCAATTCTCAATTCAACATTTAACTTCAAACTGTGGCTTCTTTGTATACAGAACGTGTGGATAAACATAATCAAGAGAGTGATAGAGTGACGCTGGAATATGACTATAAACTCGACCCAACACAAAACAGGAGAACTTAGTTCTCAGACCTGCTATTGCTAAATTATCAGGTCTAAACTCACAATCCAGTATACAGGCAACTATCAATTACTGGCATCAACTTCTGAACACTTTTGCAACTAAGTCTGAAAAACAATGGTTGTGGTTGTTCACTTAAAGATTCTTATATTGCAGATAAAATATTCAACAATGTTTTATATTGCCATTGGCAGTTTGTTTGAAGATTCTCATATTGCAGATTAACTATTTAACAACGTTATATGGCCATTGGTTGGTTGATTGAAGATTCTTGTATTGCAGATAAAATATTAAACAATGTTTTATATGGCCATTGGTTGGTTGTTTGAAGATTCTTGTATTGCAGATAAAATATTAAACAATGTTTTATATGGCCATTGGTTGTTCGTGTGAAGGTTCTTATACTGCAAGGGTGCACAATGAAATAGGGAGTTATAATTATATGCTACAAAAAGTGTTATCCTGCTTTGATTGAAATGTTTCTGGTGAGAGAGATGGAGATGTCCACAAAGTCACTTTGGTATCCTGTGGCGTGAAGGTCAGAGTTGGGGCTGACACATAATCCCGAAAACCCTGTGTTAAAAATACTGACTAGATTCGAAATTTGGTGATGTTCTGGTGAATGGGACATTTCTGTTTGTGAATGTGACTCGTGTGGGTTGTCCGCTGAGTAATAACTGTTCGAGGATGAGTGGTTGTCTGCTGAGTAATAACTGTTCGAGGATGAGTGGTTGTCCGCTGAGTAAGTGTTGTTCGAGGATGAGTGGCTGTCAGCTGAGTAAGTATTGTTCGAGGATGAGTGGTTGTTCGCTGGGTAAGTATTGTTCGAGGATGAGTGGTTGTCCGCTGGGCAAGTATTGTTCAAGGATGAGTGGTTGTCCGCTGAGTAAGTATTGTTCGAGGATGAGTTGCTGTCCGCTGAGTAAGTATTGTTCGAGGATGAGTGGCTATCCGCTGAGTAATTAATGTTCGCAGATGAATGGTTGTCATTGCCGAGTTTAGCGATTTTGTTGGTAGAACTCTCGTGTGATGAAGTAGGCGGGTTGTCTCTTTTTCGTTTCAATACGCTGCATGTTGTGTTTGTACTGGGTACGTATTGTTTATTACAGGCAGACTGTTCTGACGATGCCATCTGCACTTCTTGTGAAAGCTGGGTGGCTGCTACAAGGTGGCTATCGTGAGACGCCGGGAGGTGTGAACTAGGCACATTTTCTGTTAAGACAGTCAGGTTCTCCACAGCAGGCGGAGAATTCTCCTTGTCACGAACCATTTCTACCTTGCATTCTTGACCTGTCGTGTGTTCGTAAGGCATATGGGATGGCCCTCCGAATGATGAAACATCCGACCTAATTTGCTCGACCGTTTTTGGCGTGGTAGTCGTGTGACCCAGATTTGAGTCACGGGTTAACGGGCACACTTCCCCTTTGTTCGATTCCCCAAGAGGCGAGGAATCTGGCTTCTGTCCCAGACTGTGGAGATTCTGCTGCTGTTGTTGTTGTTGTTGTAGCTGCTGTAGGTGATGCTGATGTTGCTGGTGCTGTTGCTGCTGCAGCTGATACTGCTCTAGCAGCTTCTGTCTGTGTAAATTCTGCTGATAGTTATACGACTCCATCATATAAGCAGTTCTGGCTTTATGCAGTACAGTAGCGACAAGTAGGTTCTTGTGTAAGTTAATCCCTCCTCTTTGGCCACGAGACTGTGCTATTTTACCCAAACTCACAGAAATCAAACGCTGGGTCTCCGCACACACCGACATCTCGAATAACAACAACTATATTTGATATAGAAATTCAACACTATAGTCCTTTTGTGTAAGCAAAGTCCACACACACACAAACCGAACTTTCACAACTCGGGGAATCTCATTTGCACCCTCGACAATACACCTCGTCTGCTGCTAATGCCTGCTCGTGACTCTGCGCTCCTAGTTTTGAGCCAGTGACGTCAATAGTTACACATACCAACCAATCATCGTCGACCCTGGGAACGCGTAGTTGGCCATTGAGCCAATCAGAAGCCGCGTGTATTTCAGTGGAATTACTACTATGACTTCAGGGATCTAAAAAAAGATCCGACCCACCAAACCCAAATGTAGTCTTGCGTGTTTTTAAGTGGGTGTGTAGGATGGATAATAAAAAATTCGGGGATCGTCAGCTGAGGTCAGTTACAACAGGAATAAGACTGACCACATGAGAAGTCCCGTATATGTCAGTAGACAGTTTCCACAATGACTTTACGGATCTGAAAAGAAAGCCAAATATAGTCTTGCCGTGGTTTCACTTCAGCGGGTGGATAACTCACAATTTATGGTCAGCCTTTCACGTTCTCCCTCCGGGATAACAACTCGGAAAACTGACACCCAGTTACATAAAGTCGGAAAACTAACGTTGGTCTCCCCAAACAAAGTAGGTCACGTTTCATTCATAAGTTTGTTGGGCTGGTCTACTTTCCTGCAGGTTACGGGTGTGCCGCTTTGTTGTTTGCTTTCTGAGTTGTCCTGCATTTACGTTTTTATTCCGAGAAACAGAATCCCGGTGACATAGGGTGCAGCATTCTCTGGGGGAATTGTGTTAGACACCGTTTTTCAATGTTTTTAAAGTGTTAAAAGCGCTGGCGTGCTGAAATATACTACACGCGATATCAACGGCGTTGCGGAACATCCCCGTAACCTACGACTCCTACGACTGGCTCCAGCTAAAGTCGAACGTGTGAAAACCACGCGAGTGTTGTTGAAGCAGCAGTTATCTGCATAGTCTGGTAAACGCCGATATCCTCTTTTATTGTTTTTGTCCATTCTTTGTGCTGTGTAGACTCATGCTAATCTCCATCCTGCCCTTTGGTAGCGGTGGTGCGTTGTTTTACTTTTGATAGAGGATGTCCATAGCCTGCTACTCACGTGTTTACTAATCACTGACAGAAACAAGAGCGACCGGTGCTTTATTAATATCCTACCCAAACATGGGAAATCCACAGGTCACGGGACAGTCTAGTATTTAAGGGGGTGGTAGATATGCTATATGCAGTCGTGGGACCTAGGCTGCATGCATTCGTGGGACCTAGGCTGCACTCTCGTGTGGGACGTGGGTGGATTGGGGTTAGGGCCAGTTCTAGATGTTTTGGGGTCGTTAAAAGCATCAGAAAGTCGGGAAACCCAGTCTTACAATCCTCTAAAATGTTAGACTGTCCTGTGACGTCATCTGGGGGTAAGATAGTGATAAAGCGACCTACTCAAAAAATCGCACATCAATCCATTCACTACAACTGCTGTTAGCAGTTTAGTTCTACATAGAGACGTAACCCACCAAATGTAATGAAGCAGGCGTCAACTTGTCTTAAGTGGGTGTGTGAGACGGAGAACCACAAATTAAGAGATCGCCAGCTAGAGGTCACTTAAACGGAAACCAGACTGACCAACAACTACGTGTGTAGAGTAACAGTTTTCGTAGGCAGTACAAATAACTGGACAATAAAGACAAGCGAGGAGTATTGCTTCGGTCGTTAGGGAAGCGGCGTTTGGGGTCGCGCCCCTAACCTCGGCTATTTATAGTTTGCATTTAGTCATGGTAAATACCTTATCGGAATGTCCCCTTTGACGACGTTTTCCTACAATAAGGAACATGTGAATTTGGCGTGACGACGACTGGCTGCTATCCTTGAAAGTGTAACGGGATTTTTGAAATTATGATTGATGATAATAAATGTACATGGGAAATAAAGCAGTAGTAAATAGGCAAAGAATTACAAGTGTTAAATAACTACAATATTAAATGAAAATGTTTCTCATTCTTCTTTTTCTTCTTCTTTTTCTTCTTCTTCTTCTTCTTCTTCTTCTTCTTCTTCTTCTTCTTCTTCTTCTTCTTCTTCTTCTTCTTCTTCTTCTTCTTCTTCTTCTTCTTCTTCTTCTTCCTCTTCTTCTTCTTCTTCTTCTTCTTCTTATTATTATTATTATTATTATTATTATTATTATTATTATTATTATTACTATTACTATTATTATTATTCTGTTTCTTCTTCTTCTTCTTCTTCTTCTTCTTCTTCTTCTTCTTCTTCTTCTTCTTCTTCTTCTTCTTCTTCTTCTTCTTCTTCTTCTTCTTCTTCTTCTTCTTCTTTCTTGATCCTCCTCGTTCTTCTTTTTCTTCTTCTTCTTCTTTCTTGATCCTCCTCATTCTTCTTCTTCTTCTTCTTCTTCTTCTTCTTCTTCTTCTTCTTCTTCTTCTTCTTCTTCTTCTTCTTCTTCTTCTTCTTCTTCTTCTTCTTCTTCTTCTTCTTCTTCTTTCTTGATCCTCCTCGTTCTTCTTTTTCTTTCTTCTTCTTCTTCTTCTTCTTCTTCTTCTTCTTCTTCTTCTTCTTCTTCTTCTTCTTCTTCTTCTTCTTCTTCTTCTTCTTCTTCTTTCTTTCTTGATCCTCCTCGTTCTTCTTTTTCTTCTTCTTCTTCTTCTTCTTCTCTCTTGATCCTCCTCATTCTTCTTCTTCTTCTTCTTCTTCTTCTTCTTCTTCTTCTTCTTCTTCTTCTTCTTCTTCTTCTTCTTCTTCTTCTTCTTCTTCTTCTTCTTCTTCTTCTTCTTTCTTCTTCTTCTTCTTCTTCTTCTTGATCCTCCTCATTCTTCTTTTTCTTCTTCTTCTTTCTTGATCCTCCTCATTCTTCTTCTTCTTCTTCTTCTTCTTCTTCTTCTTCTTCTTCTTCTTCTTCTTCTTCTTCTTCTTCTTCTTCTTCTTCTTCTTTCTTGATCCTCCTCGTTCTTCTTTTTCTTCTTCTTCTTCTTCTTCTTCTTCTTCTTCTTCTTCTTCTTCTTCTTCTTCTTCTTCTTCTTTCTTGATCCTCCTCGTTCTTCTTTTTCTTCTTCTTCTTCTTCTTTCTTGATCCTCCTCATTCTTCTTCTTCTTCTTCTTCTTCTTCTTCTTCTTCTTCTTCTTCTTCTTCTTCTTCTTCTTCTTCTTCTTCTTCTTCTTCTTCTTCTTCTTCTTTCTTGATCCTCCTCATTCTTCTTCTTCTTCTTCTTCTTCTTCTTCTTCTTCTTCTTTTTCTTCTTATTGGGGGTGAATAGCTCTAGAGGACTACCGGGAGTGATTAAATAGTACAACCGGAGAACAGTGGTTAGTAAATGAGGTAGAAATATAATTTAACACAGAACGATACTATCACACACACACACACACAGGGCTGGCGATTGTTTTTTCCACATGGACTGCTGGTCTAAAATACCAAATGGTTTTCGAAAAGGTACTAGATCACATCAAAAGGTAACACATTTTCATGTTTTTCTTCTAATTAAAAAACCCCCGACAAAACGCGCTTAAATACACACACGCGAGCGCGCGAGCACCCCCCCCACCCACCCACACACACACACACACACACACACACACATATATATTTCGCTCAGTTAATTACAAATCTGTTGTTGCGGCTTCCAGTTTGTGCAGTTATGTCCTGGAGTAAAGTAGTAATGTTTAAGAGTAAAAACACAGTAAAGTCTTGGAGTAAAGATGCAGTAATGTCCTGGAGTAAAGTAGTAATGTTCAAGAGTAAAGACACAGTAAAGTCTTGGAGTAAAGATGCAGTTATGTCCTGGAGTAAAGTAGTAATGTTCAAGAGTAAAGACACAGTAAAGTCTTGGAGTAAAGATGCAGTTATGTCCTGGAGTAAAGTAGTAATGTTCAAGAGTAAAGACACAGTAAAGTCTTGGAGTAAAGATGCAGTTATGTCCTGGAGTAAAGTAGTAATGTTCAAGAGTAAAGACACAGTAAAGTCTTGGAGTAAAGATGCAGTAATGTCCTGGAGTAAAGTAGTAATGTTCAAGAGTAAAGACACAGTAAAGTCTTGGAGTAAAGATGCAGTTATGTCCTGGAGTAAAGTAGTAATGTTCAAGAGTAAAGACACAGTAAAGTCTTGGAGTAAAGATGCAGTAATGTCCTGGAGTAAATTAGTAATGTTTAAGAGTAAAGACACAGTAAAGTCTTGGAGTAAAGATGCAGTTATGTCCTGGAGTAAAGTAGTAATGTTCAAGAGTAAAGACACAGTAAAGTCTTGGAGTAAAGATGCAGTAATGTCCTGGAGTAAAGACACAGTAATGTCCTGGAGTAAAGACGCTGTAATGTCCTGGAGTAAAGACGCTGTAATGTCCTGGAGTAAAGATGCAGTAATGTCCTGGAGTAAAAACGTAGTAATGTCCTGGAGAAAAGATGCAGTAATTTCCTGGAGTAAAGACGCAGTAATGTCCTGGAGTAAAAACACAGTAATGTCCTGGAGTAAAGACACAGTAAAGTCCTGGAGTAAAGACACAGTAATGTCCTGGAGTAAAGACACAGTGACGTCCTGGAGTAAAGACACAGTAATGTCCTGGAGTAAAGACACAGAAATGTCCTGGAGTAAAGACGCAGTAATGTCCTGGAGTAAAGACGCAGTAATGTCCTGGAGTAAAGACGCAGTAATGTCCTGGAGTAAAGACACAGTAATGTCCTGGGGTAATAAGTTTGATTTCGTCGATGCATTTTTTATTTATATCTTTAAAGAAGAGCGATTTTGTGTCTCGACGTTTCAAATACCGATACATATGTAAAATTTCTAACCCGTACCATAACGCCTAGCATAGTGCCCAAATAGTACCACATTTGTACGAAAGTACCAACTTCGAGAGTCCTGATCCTAGATTACTTTAAATATCCACAAAGATAGACAGCATAATATGATGATTATAATTAATTAAAAGTGCACCTAAAATATATCAAACTTGACAATCTACACTCCTATAATCG